TCACGTTTACTGCAGACTGCTTTCTGTCCGTCTTTCTCCCGAATGTTAGAAATGGTGGAAATTGCATTTTGAGGTGTGCGCTATGGTTGGCATAGACAAGCAGACAGACTGGCTGCTCTCTATGTGTTAGAGAACTGTGTGTGGTGTGTCCCTGTCCCTCTGCAGAGGTGGTTTCTGGAGGGTCTTAGGGAGATGCAGGACAGTGACACCTGAAGTAGGCTGGACTCCTAAACCTGAGAAGGCAGGTGGTCAGAGGTAGAGTATGGGGCTCCTGCTTTGCACCCTGCTGGCCAGGCCCTCCTCTCCCAGATCCCTGCTGGGGACTTAATCATTTGCAGTCCTGTGTGGCCATTTCTCCCAGCACATGCTTTGCCCTCTCTGGACACTTTATTATTCCATCAGTTGGAGAACTTCATAAAACCTCTTGTCGTGCCTTTAAGCATCATCTAGTCATAGATTATTTTCCTCACCAAGAATTGATTCCTGCTCTCTTCCATCCACCCCTGTCCTTCCCCTCCCCACGGTTGGTAGTTGTTATTTTCCCTGGGATCCAATAAATTAAAAATTGATGGCAGCTCAGAAAGTGTTGTGCTCCGATGAATGCGCGTGTGTCGGTGGCGTTTCTGTGTCTCCTGCTGTCATGGCCCTTCCCTGAATGTTCACTGGGAAGAGAATGCAAAGATCCCTTTACAGGTTGTTGGTAAGCATAGGCTAGCTGGCAGAGGCCCTGGCTTCCTGGGAAGCAGGTGTAAAGTCTCAAGTCAGAGGGAGGCAGAGCTCGGCGGATGGATGCTGAACATTTCTTGTAAACATACGTACACATTGTGATGGCGGCTGTGACGTTGGTGGCACACGGTTTTAAGAACCTGGCAACACCCCCCTCAACACTTCTTTCCTGTCCCTACTCCCTTCATCACTGAAACAATAGCTCTGCATGTGTTTCCCCTGACCTGTGGGTTAGTTGTAGAGATTTGAGCAGGGTAAGGGAGAACATAAGCCCATGTACTGTGCATGCAGTAATCTGCGTGCGCATGTGTGTGTGTGTGTGCATGCGTGCATGTGTGTGTGTGTGTACGTGTGTGTAGCAGTCCACATGCCCCATGCGTTGGGGACAGCAGGGAGTTAATCTCTTTTCTGAAATTCCCTGAAGGGCAGGTGTAGACAGTTGTTAGAAATGGACTAGGGCAGGCAGGGCCCTGGGATCTGTGTGCTAGTAAGGTAAGGCCTTCTGAGCCCTTGCAGCTGCTAGGGGGGTTGATGGGTGCTTGGCTGGGCCAGTGTGAACAGCTCCTCTCTCTGTCTTCTGCCCCAAATTCCTTCCCAGTGGAGCTTATACATGGGAAGTTTGCCTTAGGATCAAGGGCTTCCCCTGCCACTTAACAATGACGCCCATTATTACTTGTGAAGCCTGATTTCATTGCCTCTAAATGCGTTTACCAGCTGGGAGGAGGCCCAGCCTTGTAAATAAAATGTGGTTTTGTTGTAAAAGAAAATCTAACTCGCGCGTGCGTGTGTGTGTGTGTGTGTGTGTATGTGTCGTGTGTGTGTGTGTGTGTGTGTGTGTAAATATATATTTGTTCACGTGCTTTAGGCTTTAACATTTCAAAACCCTCTTCAATCCTCTCATATCTGACATTTGAGCAAGTTGTGGGCTGCATTTGTCCATTCATTTTTCCTCTTAACGAGTCAAGCATTTTAGCAATTGCTATACTTATTCGGTTCGTGGTATGTGGAGAGTGGTAATATTTTGCAGGCTGCCTGACACTTGGGGAGCTTTTCAGGAAAGCACACATCTTCTCAGAGGAGTGCTTTATCTGCACCTTATTTTTTAAGGCCTGAGTTTGTGGAATGAGGCTACAGGAGGGGCTGGTTGGTAGAGTCTGGGGATTGCAGCGGCTGCTTTCATCTGTCTCTTCTCTTTCCTGGAGGCTCCCTCCTTTCTGCGTGGCAAGTGTGAGCAGAGGCTGGTCCTCTGAGGCAGTGCGGAGCTGGGGGACGCAGGTGTCTGGGCAGATAGACGTCTTCAGTGCAGGGCAGCTGAGGAGGGTTCCCGGAGGACCAGTCAGTCTCCCTCTAACTTTGCTCTTCTCAGAGCTTGGCCAAGCGTCTGTCTCTTTCTCCTTTTCTTTCTTTCATTATAGAAACAGTTAGTTCTAAGAAGGGACACACACACACACACACACACACACACACACACTCTATACACCAGCGGAAATGAAACCACAGTCTTTGGGTGTCTCTGAGAGCCTCTTGCCTGGCTTTCAGGCCTAGTCAGCTGCCTGGTCTACTCGATCTGACCCAGAAATTGAGGTTCAGTGGGACTCTGCTGCCTGAATGCCTGGGGACCACTTTATCACCTTGCTCAAGAGAATCAAAAACAGGGGCAGGGGGCCAGAGCTCAGGGCCTCCTGCACACAGCCTGGGGGTGGGGAGAGGAAAACCCAGCTCTTTGGAGTTGACAGGGAGGACATGCTGTCATCTTCGGGAGTTTTGCCTTCAACACTGAAAGTGGGAGTGCAAGGAGACACGGTCTAAATTCTTTCCTGGTTCTATCTCCCAACCCCTGAGGTAGTGGCATGGCTTGGGTCCTGGTCCTGGAAGCAGAGACTGAACTCTGAGCTGAGACTGCTCCTGGGGATAGCCTGTCTGTCTGTCTGCAAGGCTCTGGCTTCCCAGTTGGCTTGGCTCTAAGGAGACTCGGAACTCGGAGCTGCAGCTCAGTAAGCGAGTGTTGGAGCCCTTCATACTCAGTTACTGTGCCTCAGTGTGAAGAAAGTGAGAGACAGAGACTGCCAAAACCAGACAGACAAACAAGCAAACAAACAAACGGAAAGAATGCCAGATGTTCCCCCATAAAAGGAAGAAAGAAAAAGAAAAAAGAAAAAAAAAGTGTGGGTTTGGAGTCTTTGCCAAAGCAGGAACAGAGAGGGACTGGGTGCTGTGAACCGGCGTATGTGACTTTTGCTAATTTTTGTATTAGTCTGTGGTCCTTTAGAATTAGAAAATGAATTTGAAATTCTGCAGCTTGAAATCTCCCACCAAAAAATGGCATGCTTCTGCTGCTGGAACTGGCCAGGCGGGTGGAGGGTAGATGTGGCTCGAAAGTTAATAAAAAAACAAAAACAAAACCAAACCAAAAAACAATGGAAAAGTCCAAGGTGCAGTCAATTAAACGGCAAAAAGAAGCTCCTTTCTGTTGGAGAGCACTGTCAGGTTGGGGATGTGGGTTTGTTGTTTTTATCGAAGGCTGTGAGGATGAGGCGAGTTGCCAGACCTGCTAGGGGCTGGCATTGAAAACCGTACCAGGTACCCCACCTCCACACCTCACTGCTGTTTTGTCTGAATTCTCAATTTCATTTTGTCCTTTTTTTTTTTGCTTTTCAGTTCATTTCCTTTGTGCTTTTTTTTTTTTTTTGACAAAACAATATTTTGACATCCTCCTCCCATTTATTAGTGCTCTTTCTCTGGAAATGGTGCACAATACATCCTTATATTTCTAAAGAACTGTTTGCACAGCCCTCTCCTTTGGCTCTGAAATTATGTATATGTAATTGGTAATTAAAGGTGCGAGCTTTTCAATATAAACAGTATTGCTCAATGTTAGATCATTAAAGGGGAAAGAGGCACCGAATAATTACCTTTTACGTCCTGACAAACGGTTTACAGGAATCCAGTCTCTCCCTCGAACCACTGTTCAGCTTGAAGGTTGTGATTACATTTTAACCATGGCAAAGCAGCTTTTCATAAAATAAATTGGTAAATTAATTACGTAGCATTGTCTTCAAACTCCTTTTGAAGTAAACTCCGATTTCTTTTTCAAGGGTAATTAATGGTTTCTGGGACTGGCTTTGTGGGGACTGCCCCTTTACCTTGTTGGTTCTGTTGTGTTAGTGATCTACAGACAACAGATTTAGACTTCACCCATCTGCGGGGTGTTTCTGAACTGCCGTGTTTTCTGATGCGGTGGTTCTACGTGTCATTTACAGAGGGCCCTGCCTGCCTTCTGGTAACCACAGGTATTACCTCAACTTGTGATTTCTCTTGCTGTACCCTAACCTCTCCCTGTATCCACGCATGGCTCCTAGGTACATGCTCCATGCCACCGGCCTCGGATTCTACATTTTGTTTTGCACACGAACTCTCGTGGGCCCTGAGAGCAAGCTTGGGTTCCGAAAACACAGAACAGTGACTTACATGCAGGATGGAAGATGCCACAGGATTTTTTTTCCCTTCAGTTCTTGCTCTTTGGCTCTGGCCCGTCAGTAACCTCATTGCCACGGAATGTATTCCGCCCTCCTAGCCCTCCTTTTTCCTCTGTGGCTTTTACTATCCTTCCCCAGACACTTATGGCTTAGCATTTACCTACCTCCTTGGTGTAAGACCTGTGGCTTCCCCTAGCGTCTATGAAGACCTGGCCACTTACTCCTTCTGCACATTAGCCCTTGAAAAAATTCCAACCGGAGTTTGCCCAGACTCTGAGGGGAACATGAAACCTCTACATCATGCACTTCCCTTGATTTACGGCACTTTGCTGCTGAGTTTTGTAGTGTTCCCTTGAGGGGATGGATGATTTTTGAGGTGTTTATTAGCTTCAAAATATTTGGGTCCTATGCCCCCTACAAAAAATAACAACAAAAGGAAGAGTTCTAAAGAAATTCAGAAACATCCAAACGATTGTCTGTCAAGAAATGCTTCCTGAGGCTGAAGACTTTTTTTTTCCTTGGAGTGGAAATAAAACCAACTGACGAAAGGGACGGTGGGAAGTGGAGCACTGAGCAGCTAACGTGGTAGAGGTCTGAGTACAGTGTACGGGGATGCCAGCTCCTCTTCGGTTTTGCTTTCCCCTTCCATATTTTGGAACCTGACACTTCTTGCTCTCAGAGCATGCGTGCATGCGTGCGTGCCTCTGTGTGTGTGTGTGTGTGTGTGTGTGTGTGTGTGTGTGTCCCTTTCTGGGCAGGACTGGCTCTCAGACACCTGTCTGGGTTTCTGTTTTCTAGTTTGGTGCGTGGCCAGGACTCAGGTAGAGGAATTCAAGTAGGACTCGCATGAATGGGGAGGCCAGGTACATGAATGAAAACCGGTGGGAAGGGGTGGTAGCCCCAGCTGGAGGAGCAGGGGGGACACAGTGTCAGTTCCTTGCTTCTCCACCTTGTCATCCATTGGAATAACCTGGGGTGGCTTAAAGAATGGCTCCCCAAGTCATTGCCCTGGAGCGCAGAGCTCCCCGGGTGATGCTCAGATAACATGAAGTGTGAGGGACATGGCTCTGGCTGATGCTGCTGGCAGCCGGGGTGCGTGTAATATGTATGTGCACACGTGTATGTTCTCACGCTGTGTTGGGAGTTGGCAGGACATGCATTAGGAAGCACTACTGGTGTGATATCCTTGGGGATGTGATGGAATGGGATGGTGAACCCCAGATCCTGGGAGTAGAAGGGCCTGCTTCTTAACCGGGAAGGGGTGGAAGGAGCCCCGTGCCTGTGACCGCCTAAGCCCATCTTTATCTTCTCTGCCCCTCCCCTGTCTCCTTTCTGTCTCCAGCAGAGGCTGACCATGTGGAGGCTGCCATCCTCGAGGAAGATGAGGGTCTGGAGATAGAGGAGCCGAGCAGCCTGGGGCTGATGGTGGGTGGCCCCGACCCTGACCTGCTAACCTGTGGCCAGTGTCAGATGAACTTCCCGCTGGGGGACATCCTGGTTTTCATAGAGCACAAGAAGAAGCAGTGTGGTGGCCTGGGGACCTGCTACGACAAGGGCCTGGACAAGGGCAGTCCACCGCCCTCCTCCCGCTCTGAGCTTAGGAGAGTGTCCGAGCCGGTGGAGATCGGGATCCAGGTCACCCCCGATGAAGATGATCACCTGCTGTCACCCACGAAAGGCATCTGTCCCAAGCAGGAGAACCTTGCAGGTATGAACTTTTGCTCACTTGGTGACTGCTGAAGCCCCCTCCCCAGCCAGTCCCACCCCATGACCTAGTAGCAGTGCTGCTGGGGGAGGTCCAGGGCTTCCCCTTTCTGAGGGCCCACCTTCCAGGTGACCTTCTGGGGGAGACAGGCTCAGGGCGGCCTGACTGCTGCATGCTGGTGCCTTTGCTTTTGGCAAGGGAGCTCTGTCTTGGGCTTTAGCCAGAGGTGGCCTGGAGCACAGGACGGCAATTTGGAAGTTGGCTTGGCCCTCTCTTTGCTGGTGATCTTGGCTCAGTCGCTGAATGGTTTGGATTTTGTTCCTCACAGCCTGGATTCAGTGGTTTCCCGTCCCTCAGATGGAGTTTAGGAAACCGCCCTCGTGATGATTGTTGTGAGGATTCAGCAGATGCACAGTGAGGCAGTACGTGGTAGTCACCTATGCGTACAAGTATTCGTCTCTCTCCTCTCTCTGGACTCAGTTTGAAAGGATGGGGTGGGCCTTCTCATCCTCCAGGCTGCCTCCCACTTTGACTGACACCATAGGATAGGTCTGGGGAGGGGTTGTAGGAACTTGTCTGAGATCTATCACCTGGGGGAGAATGGACATATCTTTTGGCACAGCGTTTGTTCCTACCTAGACAGCTGGTCTCCTTACCCGAACATGTGTGCGGCCTCTTCCCCAGGCACTACCTGTGACCTTTTGTGGGGTGTGCCCACTTGGTGACTTTTCTCTAAGTCTTTCCTTCCTGGCCATACTTTTGGCATGCCAGAGTCTCCCGGAAGAGTCTCTGCGGTGTGCATAGCATTTGTTTCTGGGAGAGATGGGGGCCCCTGGCCTGCCTGTGTTTACCTAAAGAGGCAGCTAGATAGGCTTCAGACTTTGTGCAGATGAGGGTTCAGTCATACTGATTGACTTTGGGCTGACCACTTCATGAGTTTGAGCCTCAGTTTCCTTGTTTGTCATTAGGCAGTAATAATTCCAACAGGCCTGGTATGACAGAGAGAACAAGGGCTCCTCTGCAAAAGCTTTGGCAATGGAACTTTCTCTGAGGGGTTCCCTCTGGCCCTTCAGTGTGCAAGTAGGTGACCAGGTGTTTAGGTCATGGAGCCCTAAGGACACTGAGGCTTTGTATGCTCCTGGGAGATGACACAGACATGGGAAGGAACTTCCCATCACTTAGGAGGCAGTCAGGGTCTCACAGCGGGCCCATCTCTACCATATGGCAACTGTCTGCCTTTTGGCCTCAGTTTACCCACCTGTGTACTGGTACTAACGAGTCTGTTTGCAGATCCCTGCAGGCCTAGGCTGGGCAGTGGGGAGACCTAATTGGGCTGGTCCCTAGTCTTGCCTTCTGGTGGGTACCCTAGTGGGAAACCTATTGCATTCCTTTCAAGATGCAAAGGCATGGAACAATGCCAACATAACCAGACCTGGGTGCACAAACACGGTCAGGAGGACACATCCTTCATTAGGTCAAGAAGGGTGATGGGTCTGTCTGTGTTGTCTGACACGACACTCAGGATAGATTTCAGAAATGGACACATACCTGGTGTCAGAGCACACTGACTTTTTGGGGTAACCTCTTGGTTGGTCACTGTTTACATCTCAGTGCACGTACTTTTATCTGTTGTCCCCAGACTCCAAATCCTCATTTTACACTAAAGTTCTCTTTCCCATTGAAGGCCCCTGGATCATTGTGGGGAGGTTTGTTTTAAGAAACTGACTCAATGTGATTTCACAAAAGGCAAAGTTCACCTCTTGACAGCTTTGTCTTCACCCTGCAGCCCCCTCTGCCCCCAGTTGTTTTTTTCTTTTTTTTTTTTTTTCCCCCTTTCGGGCAGTCATACTACAAGAACCCACAGTATTTTTATTTTATTTTATTTTATTTTATTTTATGCATAACAGAAGATATTCTTGGCCCTTCTGTTCAGAGGCAGGGGGAATGGATTTTTTCATTCTAGAAGAAATATGTAAAATAATCCCTTAGAAGTCTAAGGAGATATGTTTGTTCAAAGCATTTGAAATGTTATTTTAATCAAAGTACAAAACATTCTGCTGCGTTAGCTGCGACCGGCCATTTGGTTCTAAGAACCCAGCCCACCTTCCCTTCCACTTGGGGGTCTTCTTCCTCCTCTTTGCTTTGGTACCAAGTTTTCTTTTCTTTCCTTATTTTTTTTCTTCATTTAATAAAAAGGAAAGATTAAAGAATAAAACTTCAGTGGCTCAAATATATAAAGTAATTTAATATGGTGGGAGCATTAATTATTTTAGCTTAATTGAATTCTGAGGACTGCAGTCCTTGCAATTTGGTAGACAAGCCCTGTTTATTATTTCTCTGTATAGATTAACAGTAAAGGAAACACAGATAACTTTCAGTTATTTATTGTAAAATAAATGTGTCAATTCATGTGTAAAGCAAGCTGCTCAAAGATAATTGAGTCTTTATATTTTAAGAGGGGAACTACGAATCACGGGCACTTCTCCACCCGGGCTTCCGGAAATCCTCACAGCTGCTGTCCAGGTCCCTGGCACATGGGCCTTGATGGGCCCCTGGCTCCTACTTCCTGACTGTGACTTCAGGGGTCTTCCAGCTGCTCCATGTCCTGCTGCTGTCCCCATGGACTTCCTGGTCCCAGCCAGTAGCTGGCGAGCAGGTGGCTGTTGATTCTTGGGACTCTGCCTCTGGCTTTGGCTGGCCAATTTGGCCAATTTCATGGTAGGGTGGTCGGGAATATGGTACAGTCATGAGCCGGCAGCTTCACTCAGTCCAAATGGCCCCTATTCTCTACCAGGAGCTCTAGAAGCAGGACCCTAGAGATGGATGGAAGGACTGGCCTGTAATAGGTGGGATTCTTTTCATCCTTCGGTGTGAGGGCTAGGCTGCAATTTGGCCAGTTGTCCAACCAGGGTGTACACCCACTCACCACCCTCTCCTTGGGAAGGTCATTCCAGAGATGGCTAAACAGTTTCTAGTCTTTCTGTTGTTTGAAATGATGGAGAAATGAGAAGGCATAGGGAGGAAGTCTATCAAGCTTAAGTCCTGGAGGGCACAATTCATTCATTCATTCATTCATTCATTCATTCATTCATTCTTCATTGATTCGTTTGTTCAGTGGCTGAGCACCTAAGCAGTTCTCCATGAGAGGGCGTCCCTTGTGGGGAGTGTGTGAGCAGCTAGCAGCCCTGTTCTTGATGTGGGTTTGAGGCCTGCCCCTGCTCATCTCCTATGGTAAAGGACGTCTCTGGCAGCTGGTTTCAAAGCCCACCCGGGGACAGGGGTGGATTGGCCAGAGGTCAGGCCTTTGGCCTCTAGGTCTGACTTGAGGTACTCTGAGGTTCTAGGTGCTGCTTGTGGTCCGTTTCTGTGCCTTTGCCTCAACTGAGGGCTCTGCTGGGGCACCAGGTCATCCACTCAGGCAGACCTAGGTGCAGAGTGAGGAGCTTCAGGGTTTGCTGAGGGGTTCCCTAGAAGCAAGTCTAGGGAGGGATGTGGAGGGAGGGGTTCAGTTATTTGGGATCTGACGACCTTATCCAGTAGTGTGAGAAAGAGCACAGATGAGGAGTGAGCCTACTCTGCTTCTGCCAGTCCTGACATGGGAGTTGCCTTCACAGTCCGTGTCCTTTCAGTGCACATAGCTAACGATGACCCAGCCTGTGTGCCAGGTGCCTGGTTCAGGGAGAGCACAAGCATGGCACACACACACACACACACACACACACACACACACACACACACACACACACACACACACATGTTTCTATTGTGACATTCTGCTCTCCCACACGCTTGTGAGTGTATCTGAGGAACGTCTTAGGCTTCCTTTGGAGTGATTCCCCAAGAGGGATGTGGAAACTTCCATTGGGTTCTAGTACTCACACACCAGCCAAAAGCAATGGCAGGATGAGATCAACGAGGGTTCATGTCTACTTTTCTGTCTTTTGTCACATTAGTGTCACATGGTGATGTGCATCATGGTGGCTCACCCTGGGAAGGGACTAGGGGCTTTGGTGTCCCTGGTCTTTCCAGTTCATCCTCAGGTGATCACTCTACCTTTCCAGCCTATTTTCTCTTCTGCACCCACTTTTCAGCATCCTGCCGAGGGCTAAATGAAAAGAGACAGGGCAGCACCACATAGCACAGTGTCAAGCCAAGGTGAATAGCAAAGCCAAGGGATGCATGCTTGGACCTGCTTGGTAGCCCCAGCCCCCACCCCTGCACAGCTAAGCCTTAGAGTTGTACCTGGTTCCCTCTTGGAACATTCTATGTCCTCCTTGGAATCTCCTTAGAGAGCCCCGAAGGGAATTGCTTTTTCACGTTATTACCTTGTCCACACCCAAAAGAAAGCCTCATGGGGGGGATTCCATTCTCAAAGTCACTCAAAGATTTGCCTTTCCTCCCCTCCCCTCCAACCCCAAATGTTAATTTTCTGAAGTATAGAGACAGGAGGGGAGTGATGGGAGGTGGCACATCCCCTGGTGTGGAGGTGGCAGGTGGTTCCCTACTGTGATATCCCTGCCTGGTGGATGTGTTCTCTCAGAAGGGTTCAGAATAAGCCTGGAGGGCTTGTGTATGAGCAGGGTTTGGTTTGTGGTCCCAGCAACCCACTGCTGGAGGGAAGGGCTCCTGCAAACCTCATGATTTACATGCTGCTCTGAGAATGTTTGCTGCAGACTCCTAAAAAATATATAAAATCAATGTGAAAAAATAAAATACTAACTTGGCCAGTGGGAAAAAGTAAATAAGTTGCCTGTGCTGGGAGCCTGAGATAAACCCCACTTGTGGGATGTCTCCAAGAACTTGCATTTGCTCTATTTGGAGTTGTTATTTTCCTTCCAAATTAAGATTAGCTAAATCCATGTATATTGTGACATGGATTATCTCTTTTTTATTATTAAAATCGTGACAGCTAATTATTAGCTCTTTCGGCAGCGAGGAGCTCTGTGTTCTGTCTGAGGGATGTGGCCCTGGGCACAGGCTGGAGTCTGGGTGTTGGCAGACTT